TATAAATGGACCTTGGGGGCCCTCTACTGGTGAAGATTGGAGTAGATAGAGACATCTAGGTAGAACATTGAGTTTAACGATTTCAATTCTTGAGTTTAGGTCGAGTGGTAAGGTGGACCACCTTGTTATATATTTTCTCTTTACAAATCAGAGATGTTTTTAGCACAATGTACATTTTACATTTACATTTCATTGTCCATTCCTTACACACTTAATGAATATAATATCCTACTTTATATTTGGTTTACTATAAATTGGTATTTCAAAATGTATATTTTCTTCTCTTTTAATGCTGTTTTATTTCTGTTTGGAGATGTTTACATTTTAGAAGTATTTATTTCTACTCTTTTAATTTCTCTCATGTGCAATGCCTTGTCTGTTATGCTGCTGCAACGCAATCATTTCCCAGATTGGGATCAATAAAGTGCATTTCATCTTATGCATTGGAAGCTATCTGTTAGCCGCCCATGCTAAGTCACTCCCTTTCCGGTGGACCTCCATGGGACATTATTTCGGAAAAATTATGTATTGAAGTCAACGGAGAGAGAAAGGTCCCATGGGGCAAACAAACCGGTTTCTCTCCGCAGCTCCATGTCTGTGTATCTTAAAGGTTTAGGCAGAGCCATATAATAGAAGAGTTACGACAACGGAAGTCCAAAAACGGTTATCGTCACGTGGTTCATGTAGACGAGGATCGTTCCCCGGAAGTTCATGGCGGGCAATGTAAATGCATTGATAACAGGAGATAGAACTACGATTTTTGGTAATTATTAGTGAATAAAGGTTTTGATTTGCAATATTTATACAACAAATCGATATGTGTATGTATTTACATCAATATGTTTTTAAAAATAAAATAGAATTTGCTAATATTAAGTGATAATATTAGGATTAGTGTGAACAACTAGTTTACATGTTAGGCTAACAGTGCCTTGGTTAAAGAGCCTGTTGCTGTTTATTTATAGCTTTGAATTCTTTAAAACCAATATTATCTTCTTAAACTTGTATGGTAGTCAGGAGCATCACTTTCTAATGTTTATTGATATATTTAGAGGGAGGGGATCTAAAGTAATGCTTTAAAATTCAGATTAGATTAATGTCTACCATTTTCTTAAATTCATGGTAGTTTCAGTAACCATGGTAACTGAGGACACAAGTTATCTAAATGACTAATGTCATCTTTATGGCTTTCAGAAAGGACAGGCGACCGACAGGTGACTATCAAAGGACTAGCAGCAGCAGCAGCATGATGATGATGATGATGATGATGATGATGATGATGATGTTAAATGTGTTGTTTTAGGAACATCCATTGCAAATACATGGAATTCAATAAACATTGAATAGCATATCATGCAGTTTGTCTGTGCCTTTTCCTCCTTGTTGTCCTGGTGTGCTGTGCTGCCTCCTAGTCGCCACCATGGTTTGCTGTGCTGCCTGGGGATGCTCCAATCGCTCAGAGAAAGGAGTACGAATGTACGGCTTCCCCACTGACACAGAGCGGAGGAAGCAGGAGCAATTTCACAACCAACAGCAAAAAAATATGTGATTTATATACAAACACTTTATTTGCACTTTTTCACAAAACGAAAACCACACCATTGGGAAAGCTTAATGTTTTGTTTAATACAAAAAACAGGGAAAGGCTTGAAAAACACAGAGTTGAGACTCAGGGTGCAGGGTGAGGCAGGGGCGGACTGGCCATCGGGACTTTCGGGACGAATCCCGTGGGCCGGTACTGAAGTGGGCCGGTCGGACGATGTGGGCCGGCCGGTAACCCTAAATGGCCCGCTGGCCCGGAAGCACTATTTTAGACACCCCGGCCAGCATAACGTAGCCTACTTTCCACTTGCCGGCTCGGGCCACTAAAAATATTTCTTTAAAAAAATTGTCCTGTGGTATTGGTATTTTGACTAGCAATTTAGTTAAATTGTTTCGTTTATCAACGCTACAACATAGCGTTCCGTGAGTCGGTTGTCGTTGTTGGGTGAAAAGCAAACAGCTGTTTGCTGCGGAGCGCAGCGGGAGCAGGCTCCCGTGAGCCGGAGCGCGCTCCTTCACTACAGACTATCGCGCCACCTAAGCATTCGCCAAATGTTTTTAATACCAGCGGTAACCGGCCAAGCGCCGTGCAAAAAACAATCTTCAAATAAAAGAAAGTCACCGGAGGAGTTAAAGGAGAGTGACAGGGAGCATGAGAAGAAGAGGGAGAGAAAGTTTCAGCCAGCTTGATCGATGGAGTTGGCTGCAGTGACGCGTCCTAAAACCTTTTGTAATCTATCTATTAGATTTATGATTCGATAATTATAAAAGTAGGGTAGACATGTGGAGATTATCTGGCTGAACAAAACATGCATTTATCAAACAGGTTTGTTTTCCACAGACCTTATTTCCAGCTATTTTCCAAAACCCTTATCGAGGGAACCAGCACCTTACTTCCTGGTTTTAGGACGCGTCACTGGCAGCACCTCTCAATATGATGCCAATATAAACAAGGTCTTCTGTCGGCTCTGTACATCAATGCCGACCTATGCTGACAAGTAAGTGAAGAGTAGACCATATAAAGGTATTGGCAAAATGTCCCAGCAGTTTAGGATAATGAAGGTTCTAATCAAATCAATTACATAGCCATTACATGTCTAACTCCTGATGACAGGAAGGCAGAAAGTGCATTATACAAATAATAATAGGCTATACTCATAATAATAGCAGACATTTTTTAACAATGACCACAATATCATTATTTTAATAAACCAAATATGAACAATTGAGGAAAATGAGGAAGAACTGATGATTAAAATGTTGTAGTAGCCTACAAGTAGTAATGTAGTTATGCATAAATTACTATTGCAACAAATGTGTTAATTTTCTTCATTATTAGTCGATTTTTTTTTGGACGAGTCCACCGGCCCGGAGGTAGACATTATTTACCCTTAATGTCTATCGCTAGTAAATTGTCTACCCCCCCCCCCGTCGACAATTTACTAGCGATAGACATTAAGGGTAAATAATGTCTACCTCCGGGCCGGTGGACTCGTATTATCACTGGCCCCACCATTGTAACCACTGGCCCGGAGCATTCGTCCAAAAAAATGGTTTACTTGCGGTACCGCGGTGGGCCGGCGGTACCGAAGTGGGCTGGTCGAGAGTCCCGGGCTGATTTGTAGTCCCAGTCCGCCCCTGGGGTGAGGGTCTCAGTGCAGGTATTCAGGCTCCATTGAATCCCCCTCTGGTTCTTGTGCTGAAAGAGGGATAAACAGACAGGAGAAAGGGTTATACACACCTATATAGCACACCTATTGGATGGGAAATTGCCTTGGGGAGATAAGGTGTGGTCTTTGTTCCCAACTGAAGTTATGGAACTTTATTATTTGTGAGTTTAACAAAGTATGACAAATGGCATCAGTAACATATGTGATATGAATTTCTATAAAGTTGTCTCACATTCTTGGTCATATTGTATATACAGTATGTAATGAGTATAACATGTCCAGTAAGTATAAAGTGTTTCCTAATACTGTGTATTCAACCACTATGGAATATGTATGTGGGCAGACAAAACTGAGTTGTTCTGTGTGTGAAGTAACCTCAAGTCACTCCGCAGGCACATTTTGATGCAGACCAGTTTGTCAAGACAAAAAAGGGCAAGACTAGGCTGAGAGCAGAGGCTATACCCACCATCTTCGTGCATCGCCCTGTGGTCAAAAAGAGAAGGGCCCCTGCACCACGATTCACCCCGGGACCTGTATGTACAAAGCCCATAGCTCATGATCACAGCGATAGTGTGAAAGGTGACACAGGTATAATAAGTATGAATTCTTAGTAACAAAAGTAATATTTCTTATTTTTAAGTGGTATAATATTTTAAATGTTCGAACATTTACAGTGCCATGTCTTCTACTTACATTAGTCTCAAAGATTGAGGGAAGAAGGGAAGGGATCACTGCCCTCCACCTGCCAGAGGAGCGCAAACAACAAAAACAAGCAAGGTGTCCCGTCATGTACCTGGAAGTTTGGGTTGGCAAAATGGAGTAAGAGAGGGACTTGAAAAACCTTGGTGGCTCTCTACTCATGTTGTTACAGTTGTCTTGGTTACAGCTCTCAAGTTTTTTTTTGTGCCATTTCCACATCTTTAGAAAATATGAAAAAATTGAAGTGAAATCAACCTCATCTATGGAGAACAAACTTCCATTTCTCTGTCTTGTGAGTTTGCAGTCTTGCAGTTTTGCTCCTCCACCTGTAACATCACTGCCCCTCCACCTGCCATACAGTAGGTTACTAACAAGATTACTTATATAATACAGTGATAGAATACATGTTTAGTATGCTTACTTATATAAAACAGTAGTATTAAACTTACCTTGTGTGTTCACTCTCACTTAAGTTCCTCTCCCTTTGCCATCAATCCAAAATCAGCTGAGCTGCAACATTATACAGACAGGTAATAATCAACATAATCACAAGGACACAATATGGCTCTGCTAAAAACACTCACTCTTACATGCACCAAAGTTATATTTATCTAATATTTAACTCCCTCCACCCCTGCATACAATCCCGTTTAGAAGCCCCTCTTCTCTAATTCAACAACGTTGGACCAAATGACATTAAGAGAACGGAATTCACAATTAAAAGGCTGTTCAACGTCTGTTGCTAACTTGCTTCGGTATCCTAGCTTAATCTGTTATCTGTAAACGTTCCCTAAATCTACTAATTTAGGGATAATCCACTGACATCCTTTAATACACATGTTAAATTGAATCAGATGTACTGATAATATCCGCAATATAAATCTTTAAACCTCTTCTTACCTTTAAAAGTCCGTCACGAACGGTCTATTATGCTGCAACTCCACAGCTCTGCTAGCCTTGGCGCTAACTTCCGGGGAACGATTGAGAGGCTCCACGATCCGCCATTGCTGTAAAAAAGTGGTCCATTGGAGTGAACGGAGATGTCATAACTCTTCTATTATATGGCTCTGGGTTTAGGTAAGGGGAAATCATAGCCGCTTTTATTTTGAAGTCCTCTGCACCGGAAGTAATGATCACGCTCTTTCTAAACTGGGAACCAGATCGCGTCTCGTGGGTTCTCTCTCTACATCCATGGTTCTCTCTCGGTGTTCCTGAGGAAGTGTGTGTGAGCGGCTGATCCATCGTCTGTGTGTCTGGATGAACCTCTGACTTTGTGCTCTTTCTTCTGAAGCCTCTAGTTCGGACTCTAGAAGCTAGCTTAGCATGCTAGCTGATAACACGCTAGCAACACAGAGTGAGAGAAACGGGAAGTGGTGATTTAGTAAACATGAGTGTTGTGCTGCTCTCGTTGGTGAAGCAGCGACTCACTGCGGCTGCTGAAGACATATTTGTTCTGTTTGAAAGAACGATAGCAGAGTACGAGGAGGAACTGTCTCGTTCAAAACAGGAGAACGAGAGACACCGGAATCTACTGGACGCTGTTTTACAGCCTCAGCTTCAGATCCACAGAGCAGGTCTGTTCCCTCTTTATTAACTCTTTAGACTCTCTATTATCACGTTAGACACCGCGGTGAAGTTAGTTTACTCTCCATTATCACTTTAGATTATTTATTAAATCTCTCTTCATTGTTCTTCTTCGGTTGGCAACCAACAAATGGGTGCATTACCGCCACCTACTGGACTGGAGTGTGGAGCAGTAGATTGGCAGGAAAAATAAAATGAATAAATGCAAATAAAATAAAAACAATAAAACCTAAACTCTTTTTATAATTACAGTTCTTTTTAAGAATTGTTTCAGCAGTTTAAAGACTTCCTCTGATGTCCCCAGCAAATTCCCCACAGTGTTTGACAGTTTCCGGTTTATTGCAATCTGCACAGAGTCCAGTGGGGTGCATGCCAATTATGTGAGTTTCTGGTTTAGTCCTGTGTGTCCTTAACCGCGTAACTACCTTTTCTTCCCGTGGGCTCCTGCTTCGTCTTCGACCCCTACATGTTTCTGGATGCTGTAGAGATGCCTTCCTGTATCGCTGACATCACAGTATTCTTGCCAAGTTTTCCGTAAATGAACATTAATAATGGTTTTAGCTAATTTGTATACTTCCTCATTCCCTTCTACCACAAAATGAGCAGGAACTCAAAGGAAGGACATTTCAAGCCCCCTACATTTTAACCCAGCATACTGACCTCGCAGATTTCAAGCTCCACAGAGCTGCTAGGCTGTCAGATGCTGCAAGAACTCTGGGCTGGTTGTTCTCTTCAACCCATTTCAGTGCTAGCCATATTCCCACTAATTCTGCAGTGAATACTGAGAGATGATCTGAGAGTCTCTTTGTTACTGCTACTTCACATTGAGGGATAAAGAATGCCTGTACGCCCACTCTCTGGGTCTTTTGAGCCATCTGTGAAGATAAACACTTTATTTGTGTGTTGGTCAATATGTTTTTGTGCAAACTGGTGTTTGTTTTGGTTTATCTTTTAGTTTAAGCTGCAGACTTGTGTCGATTGCTGGATATTAAATCTCCACGGAGGTATAGGCGATGATGAAATAGTGGGACTGACTTCTAACCCGCACAGAGATGCATTTAAAGTGCTAGAGCATTTCCTATCCACCCAAAGCTGTTAGTTGTGGAATGATTATGTTCCCAACACTCCAGTACGATTGCCATTGCGGGGTGAGCATTACTATGCCCTCTAATGTTAACCCAATATGCCAACAAAAGCTTGATCCTCCGAATCCGCAGTGGAATTTCACCCACCTCAACCTGTATTGCTGATTCAGGTGAAGTTTTCTAAATGCTCCACTACATATTCGGAGAGCCTGAGCCTGTACCACATCACGTTTAAGGTTGCTTTCTGCAGCAGACATATAAGCAATGCATCCATAATCCAGGGCTGCTCTCATTAGAGCCCAATATATATTTAGTGATGAGGTTCTCCTTGCTCCCCAATCTTGCCCAGAAAGACATCTCAGTAAATTATTAATCTTTTTGCAGTCGTCTTTGATTTTGTCAATATGCTTGCCCCAGGTAAGTTTTTCATCACATAGGATTCCAAGAAACCTAACCACCCTAACCTGTTCTAGGACTTGTCCATATCGTTTAATAAATACAACTAGCAAAGCATATGACTTGGGTTTTTTCAATTGATATTTTTAAATCCCATTTGTTTGCTCATTCTTCCACCTTACCTACTGCAGCTTGCATTTTCCTTTTTAAGAACTCTATATTACGACCAGTGTTTCCGTCGGACCAGCGAGAGGGGGGGGGGGGCGCTTGAATTTTGACTTGAACCGTCCCTTATAGATACTGTCTTTTTACGTTAGTGAGCCGGATCATTTGGCTCGGCTCTCTTAACCAGTTAAGCCCTGAGCCTGTTTTTCAGGTTTCAGGCTCGAAAATGCCACTAACACAACAAATGATATATCTTCACTTCTAAAAGGGGTAAATTAATAATTATTTTTCTCAAAGCAAGGTTACATCTGTGAGTTGGATGTAGAAGTGTCAGAATCAATATAGATGTTTTTATTTTAAAGTAAATTCAGATGGAACATAGTAAAAACATGTAAATTCTAATGTCCACCTAAAAAAAAACCTTTACTTATAGTGAAAACCACCCTTGCATGATGGGTTAGTAGACTAAAAGCTTTAGGAATCCAAACTATAACATATAATAAGTACCCTGTATCAAGATTGATACAAAACAAGTGACATTTGACCTTTTTAGAGAGATTTAGAAAAATAAAGTCTAAGCGGACTCACCTCTGGGTAATTTGGGAACCATCGGTTCCATTTGAACTTTTTCACTGTAAAAATCATTTTATTACTTTGAATTATCACTATAGGTATGCATTCCATCCAAATACAACTGTTGTGAAAAAAATAAAAAATAAAATAGGCCTACTCTTACAGTGAGCCTCTGAATTAGCCCCGAGCGAAAAATGCTAACCTATTACAGCACCGAAAATCACTCCTCGCTCCCTTATTACTTATCCTAGCTGCACATCCAACACATTGTTTATGATCGCAAGGAGACACAGAATCTAACGGTGCCCACCTGAACAGCCCAACACTGAAAGATACAAACTCGCGACGTTATCAACAAAAACGTACATCAAAACAAATGGCGCTAGCGCTAATGCGCTAGGCTAACAATGACTTACCTTCCTCGTTGTCTGGTCTAAACTGGTCTTCAATGGCATTAAAACGATAAAAACGATGATGTAGTTAATCCATAGATTAATATCCAATGGGGCTGTGTCCCCTTTGAAATGTTCTGATAATCTATAAGCAATAAAACTGCAATTCCGTTATCTGCTGTCCGCTCTGTGCTCCGTGCGCTCTGGGTCCGGCTGCATTTCCTGCTTCGTTACGTTGTAAACAATAAATGAAGTCGGCTGCGTAATGTACTTAAGCTGGCTGCCATTATTTATAATTTACGCAGGACCATATCTCTGGAACCCATTGGTCGATTCGTGTGATTTACACCTTTTTCTTAACCATCAGAACCAATAGAATCGATGGGCAGTTCCCAAATCTACGTAAACATTACCATAGCGGACGTAATAGAGAAGCAAACGAAGCATATCTGAAAGTGCAAGCCTGGACGGCAATACTTTATACCGAGTATATTGCCATAAATATGATGATTGATTATCAGTAACAAATTATACGTGACACAAAGACATTGGATTAACCTTGAGATGCGTTTTTATTCCGTTGAACACAACTTTTGATCACAAATCAAAAAAGGTAAGACGTAATTATTGTAATATTTTTGGAACCGGATGTTGTTTACTTTCTCTTTTCTGGCTGATAGATCCAGGAATTCGAGGTCGGACAGTGATGACATTACATGTGTGGAATCTGTGGAGTCTCAGCTTTAAATCGTATATCTTGTTTGTGCAGTTAAGATAGTAATAAGGGCATTTCTACCGTGTGTTGTGTGTAAAAAAGCGTTAGCATTAGTTAGCATTTTTTCGCTCAATGCTAATTCAAAGGCTTGGTATTACTCTTGTGTTTTTTTTAGCTAACAATTGTTCTTATTGTCAGTTAGCGGAGTTTCTTACCTTTAAAATGGTATGAAACATTAATAGTTTCATAAATGTTAAGAAGCCCTGAGACATGTGAGAGAAAAAAAACTGTGGGAGGGGTCCACTGGGGGGACCTTCGGGCTTAACTGGTTAATGCGCCAGCTCTTTCGGCTCCCAAACGGCTCTTCATGTTACCACAGTTTACCACGGAGCCTCAGTTTTCGCCGCTGGGAGGCTCCGGTGCTCGCAGCTCACGCGCGTGCTCAACTAGCACGGCTCATCGCGTCCAAATCGTGCACTTTCCGTGTTGTCCTGTAGCAGTAGTGCTGCACGATTATTGCTCAAATGTGAATCACGATTTTCCTCCATAAGAATTGAGATCACGATTCTCATCGTTTCAATGAAAATATTTATTGCACTCTTACTCTTAGACGTCACGTGAGTACAATGAATTTAAACAGACAACATTTGTCTCTCTTGTAACAAAAACATAACTTTGTCTTTAGTCTGTAGTTGCTGAATACTGAACGAACATTACTACATTCAAAATGTGGCACCTGGAGCCAACATTTGTCTCTCTTGTAACAAAAACATAGAGTAACTAAAATGAATTTGACAGCCAACGACTGTGGCTTTAAACAAAGTGCTTGACTTAATCTCAAGTCTCTCTGGTAACAAAACATACAGTAACTAAAATAAAGATATTGCTGCTGCTTGAGTGCTGAACATAAAAAATAGAATTTTTGCAGCTTTATAATAACACAATGTAAACCTTGCAGTAGCACCTGTCCACAGTGGACACCCAACTACTGTACAACAACACCAACCTGTTTGTTACAGGGTGATGGCTTTCGTTATCTCTTTGTGCCTTCGTGAGCTGTGTGAATATGGTGTTCCGTTGAATAACGTTTGGCTTATGGATGTTAGCGTCGTTGTCTGGGGGTTTGATTTTTTTTTCGGGTTGTCCTTCTTTGCTAAAGCATACTGTATTTTATGGTGACATTGCAGGTGATTTAATAGGTTTGTGGTGTTACCTGACATCGTTGCGACGATGCGAGAACAATGCTTACAGTGATCAAATCCAAAAAGGTTCCACACACTGGATGAATGTGGTCCTTTTTTCGCCACAAGCACAACTTCCCTCTCACTCTCGCCAGAGTCACCACCGGGATTTTCATCGGTGTTGTTGTCATTGTCCTCGACCTCCTCGTCACTCATTTATGTTTTTCTTGTACTACTAGTCGCTCTCGTCACTCTTTGCTAATCAGTGCTAATGCTAACGCTTCTGTAAACATACTGCCGGCTCCTGCAGTCAGTGAGTGTTGCCAGGTATACTTATTATAAGCCACATTGGGCTTATCTTTCTGTAAAGTTGCTTGGTAGTAAGTAATAATGGTTGTTGCGGTTGTGAGCTTGTAGATAGGTTATTTTCAAATAGCCGACCCGACATATATAGGTTTAAAGTGCTCATGTTCTTTTGCGCTT